AGGTGGTCAGCCGAACGCGGAACCCCCAGTGTTTAGTTCCCAAGCATGCTTGGTACTCATTTATCGACCCACTGAAGAGATGAAAGGCTGAGTCAACCTTGCCCGGTCCGAGGATCGAAGCAACGACCTGTGGCACGACAGCGCGAAGCGCTACCGCTCAGCCACCGGGCTTGCAGAAAAGGAGTAACATAAAAAGTGTTATATATACATTATATTAGATATATATATATATAATATATTAGAATATATTATTACAATAGATATATATTAGATATATATAAGATATATATTAGAACAATATATATATATATTAGAATAGATAAGATAGGGGAATATGCATTTTTTTATCTTAACAATATTTGTGATAAACATGTAATAAGTCTCAAAAAAAATAATTGTTTGAATTTTTAAGATGCTTCTTATTGTCTTTTAGCTCCCCTCTGTTGCCTAAAGCAATCAAACCTGATTTGTTGTTCTTTGCTTGCGTCTTTCTGTACAGCGATTTGTCAGATCTGGTTTACGTTTTTTCTTCAGTTAAATAATAGTTTACGACTGCCAATGTGCATACTTTATTTTTGTTTTCTTTATTGATAAGTATTCTAAAAATACACGTTTAAGGATGGTACTTACGGAACACCCTACATAATTTAATGTTAAAAACATAATACTTACGTGATTTTCTTAAATGTTTCAGAAATTCACCCGTATTCGGTTCTTCATTTGAAAATGCCCTATTATTTAAAGTGTAACAGGGAAGAGCTGAATCCATATAGAACGGGCCATCATAATCACTTGGGAAAGTTAAGGAAAAAGTAATAAACACAAATAAATAAACAGTGAAATAATTATGAAAAATTAAAAACATGTTCATGAAGAAGTAAACAGTTATTTATATAAAATAATAAATCCCTATATTTTTTTCCAATATTATTTGGATTGTAAAAATTCAAAAACTGAATATAAAAAGTTTTGTATTTGGAAATTTTAATTAGTTCACACACAAAAAATATTAATTTTACTCCTATTTTTTTTTAATTTTTTCCTCAATTCCGTAAATAAGATTTCTAGAATTGGCGATTTTTCGCCTGTCCTTACATTTTTTTCGCTCACTGTACTCTTGAATCTAATGAATCCTATTTTGTATTTTGTATCTTTTGTATCTTTTGAATCCTATTTTATATTCTATCTAATGAATCCTATGGTTAAAAATAACAATATGCAGAATAAACAGAATGATAGAATATAATGTTTAAATGCTATGTCCATTTCCTCCCCCTTGGGTGCAGATAACCGATTTAAGACATCCTACTTTTATAGTAAATTTGTCCAAACCTGACTCAAATTTGAATTAATATAAACAAAAGAGTCAATGATTGAAAAGGGTAAAAAAAAAGTTAAGCTCCTTTTTGTTACATACTGAATTTTTCAAAATTACGGACGTTTTGAGACCCAATTTTAAAAATTAAATTCCAATCATGAAAAAAAATATTTTAAAGCGGTGAAAATAAATGCCTAAAATTCTTACTTTCCGTATCCCATCTGTGATGCTATTCCAAAATCGGTGAATTTAATGAGATCATCTAACATTTTCCTGCTTTTTTCATCTTTGTTGAAACGAAAATCAGGGTCCTTAGGTACCTGAATTCAATCAAAAATTAATTATCATTTAATTTTAGTTGACATTTTTTTTAAAGACAAGTAAAAAGCTGCAAGAGAAATAGCTTGCTATCGTGTGAGTTCATTTGTCACATTATCACAAACGGGTTGGTCGCTATGGCCTCCGGCCCCGCGCCAACCAACCAAAATCACCATAGATATTTTTCCTTCACTTGTTGCTGAGGGTGGCAACAGGTGACTGAGATGGAGGCCATGTGTTTAAAAATGTAGCCAAGTGTGTGTTTAAAAGGGAGATTAAAAAAACTATCTCCTACAATTGTACCATGAATAAATTTTGTTTTAACATTTTTTAATAAAGTCTTATAACTGAAGCTTTTAAAAAGTGTTATAACATGCAGTAGTTGTCATATTAATTCCAGAGTTTCCTTAGTTTCTCAAATTTCTACTTCATATTCAATTGTGTTAAAGGAACATTTAACTTATGTATGTCAATCATAACTTACCCATTCGTCTATCTGGATAATAATTTTTATTTAAGATTTAGAAATGTGATATAATAGTTTTGTATTTCCTTCAACTTTAAACTGCTTTCAAATATATTCTGAAACAAAGTTCTTATCGAGAGCTTCGCATCTTAAATAAACTAATGGAGCTCACCATATAACATGAAAATCAATAAACCATACACTATATAAGAACTTACCATGAAGTTGTACATATTATTTCCTAATCGACAGTAGTGGGGGCTTTCAGAACAAAATGATTTAATATCTTTTACATGTTCGCACATTTCTGGGAAATTGTTGCAAAATGCAGTTCTCTTTACTCTACAAAAAGAAGAGAAAAACACTACTTACATATACAAACTTTGAAAGCAAATATATTTGATTAGAAAATGTTCAAACTTCATTGGTGATGTTCATAAAACAACAAATGGCTAAATCATTCGTCAATATATGTACACTCAAATTAGATTGGAAAAAAAAACAGAGAATAAATTTTAAAAAATATAAACTTTTGAAACTTGTAGAATTCTTTTATGAGGTCTACTAATGAGAAACAAAAAGTACCTTTTTCGTGAGGGGGCGACTCTCCCCGTTTCCCTCCAAAAAGTATAATTCTTTGGAACTTTTGAAATGAAATATTTTAATGCTTATTTTTATTTCTTTATCTTTTTATTTCTAAGCAATAAATAGCTGCAAAATAAGACATATAGATTTTAGACTAGTTGTATCTTTATTACTTGAGATACAACTCCTGCTTCATTTGAAAACAGCACGCAAGTGGTTATTATTAGACAAATTGTTGATCCTATCAAATTATTCAGAACTCATGCCCCACGAAGGAAAAAAAAATTCTTATGATGAAAGAGAGGAAGGGATGGGTTAAAACAAGATTTTGAATTTCCAATGACTTGCAGAGCTCTTCCATTCTTAATGAATAAAAGGATTTGATCTTTTTGCTTGATAAAGTAAGTGGTTTTGGTACTTATGGTATGGTGGATGGTATTATGGTCTTGATGTTTGAAAAAAAAATTAAAGTGGTTCATCTATTTAACCGAGGTTGCTATCTCAATGTTTCAAAAAGTGTCAATAATCCAAGCTCGTCTCCTAGTTCAGTTGAAAAAGCTGGCGAACATCTAATACTTTCAATATACAACAGATTTGGAAAATCTGAATACAAAACTTTAAACCACTACAATTTTCATGAGCTGGTAAATCAGGCGAGCAATACAATATTTTTTTCGTGCTGATCACCAACAACTGATGGTTTAAACGTGGTTTGGAAACAATTTGAATTCAAAGAACTGATGGTCTAAAGTAAACAATCGAGCATAATATCTTGTTTATTCCACACAGCAAAGAAAAAGTATTCACTTTAACTTCGTGCGATTGCAGCAATAATTATGATGGAAAAAAATGTGTTCGATCAAATTTGTTGCTCATAGATATGTATAAAAATTGCCATGGATAAACCTACTCTTAAAGGAAGCAAATGAAAGTGGCGAAAAAGTTGAAAAACGATTTTCTTTCATATTTTCAACTATGATTATAATTATGCTTTTAATTAAAAATTAATTAGTTTATGATTTCGCATTAATTTTTCACTGCTCATATTTAATATTTACTTACATTTTCATATATTTGCCTTTTTCTTATTATAAGTGTGTTATTTTAATATCACGTAAGATAAAGGGCAAAAGATGCAGATCTCTCCACATGAGTCGGAACTATTTATTATCACTGCTAGAATCTACACGAGTTCTTTTCCCAAGGACTATTTACGAAAAAATTGAAAAGGAAAGTGTGTAAATATTTTAATCTGGCAAGTTTCACGAAATTAGAGTTAAAAAGGGGCAACTGCTTAAAAGCTGGGAACTAATTTTTTTAATAAAACTTTTTCATTTCATTAATTTTTTTTTATTTTTTAACTGCTTAAACAATAAAAACCATGAATGTGGAAAATTTTTATTAAAAAATAATACCTAAAACCTAAGATTTTTATTAGTTGAAAACTAGTTAACAGGATCTATTTTGTTTTCATTAATAGTCTCCATATAAGTTATACCCTAACATTAATTGCTTAAAAATTAAAATAAGAATGTGCTTAAAAATTTTACTTGGAAATAACTTATTGCTTATAGTATTAGAGACAGAAGAGGGAAAGATAAATTTTTTTTTACAACTAGGGTTCATATAAGTTTAGATTAATTTAGTTGCTTAAAATTTGAAGAAGAAAAAATTAGGTTAAAAATATTATTTGGAGAGTTCCTATAATTTTAAGGCTTTAAAATAAACGTGGAATATCATCTACAGGGAGTGGAAACTAATTTTTTATTCATTAAAAACTAGAATCAAGTAACTTATGTTTTAACGCTTTATAGCATGAAATTTTAAATAAAAACCTGTGCAAAAACTTCATTTTGTGAACGGTTTAGAATTTATAGTTTAAGTTAGGGGGAGAAAAATTATTCTTTGGAAGGGAATAAATTTTTTTGACTTCTAAAATTCTTATCAATTAAATTTCGACATTTAAGTGCATAAAAATAAATGTAGAATTTTATTTCAAAGTTATATAACACCTTTAGAGATTTATATAATTCAAGAGATTTAATTAAAACTTTGGATTTTATAAAGAGGTGTTCTGTTCAGGGTTCGATGACGTATACTATCAAACTCACAAATGGACCAATCAGAGGTTAGCGCTGATTTCCAGCTGACGGCGTCCTGTCCTAAGAAACCAGGCCTTAAAATGCAATTTGATCCATCGCTAGTGTGACGTCAGCTAAAACGTCATTATGGATTTAAGTGACCATTTTACCTAAGTGACAAGACTCTTTAAAAAAGCTTTCAAAAATAACTTTTCATTTCTTTTTAGGATGAAATGTTTGAAACTGCAATATTTTTGCTATATTGAAAAAAGGTTTTTGGTGACAATAAAAAGAAAAATCCGACTCAAATTTGCCGTAGGGTTACATGCTCTCTGGGTATGAGATTAATTTTTATGCATTCATTTCATTGAAAAAGGCCCTAAAAGTACGAATTAACATTTTACATATAAATAATAGAAAAATTATAATTTTAGGGAGAAAAGAGAGAGAAGTACCCCCTCACGAAATGGGAACTCTTTTTTTTTAAATACAAGAGCTCCATATGAGTATTCTTCCGAAGCTACAAAACTTTTTTTTCCCTTTATTTTAAATAACTTGAACATACTAAAGGTTTCTGATTTGTATTTGCAAGTCACTTGTGTCATCCTTTATTTGTATAAGATGGATTTTGAAAATCTGAATGTTTCGTTAAAAATGTTAAACCTCTCTTCAAAGTTGAACATTAGTTTGCATCTTAATGTTATGTTTTTTTCTTCTTATCTTATCTTTTCTTCGTATGTTATCTTTTTTGCATCTGAAGGTTATCTTTTTCTAAAACTGAAAGCTTAGAATTACGTTTTTAGGTGTTTTTACTTTAACTTAATGCAGCTCGAGTTTTAAAAACTAAAACTTTTGTTAGATAGTTCATTATTCGTCAGAAGAAAATCTTTAAAATACCGAAGACAAAATTAATGTGAAAGGCTTTTAATGGAATAATATCAAATAAATTTAAAGATTTTTAAAAAAATGATGATATTAAGAATGAATGTATTCGCGTACCACGTTTTCAGCTTTACTTAAATTAATAGAGTCGATTGACAACCGATAAATATAAACAATGACACGCTTAAGAAAAGCGAGAAACATTTTGAATAAAAATTTAAAAAAATTCTAATTAAAGTAATTTTCTACTTCTTTTTTTGTCATTTTGAAATATTTTAAAAGTTAAACTCCATGATAAAGCTTGCATATTCTCTGTTGTTGTTGTCGACCATTAAGGCAGAGGGGATACGATTGTTCTTGTTTTCCAGTGGCGCCATCCATGGGCAAGAATTTGACTTCTGCCTAATGATTCACACCAGTTTATGGGATGGACCCGTTCATACATCCATTCATTTATCCACTAATCGTTATTTTGACGTAAACCAGAGAGCGATCAATCTCCAATTCAGTACCACAAGAGGTATAATTTTTAATGGAACATGGAGGACTTTGTGACCCGACAGATTTAACTTGCACCAGTCACTACACTTCGGCTGGTTGGATACGAACTCCCGTTTTCACAAACGTTAGCCCAACGCAACTACCTACCAGGCTATCTCGGCCCCTCTATATTCTATTAAAGATTAATATACACTAGATATAAAAATTTAAACTCGTTTCTTATAAAGTTAATTAGTAAACGTTATGGTATTATTTCAAAATGTGACTTTTGTGAATAGAACTGAGATTAAAAACACTGATTAAAAAATGTTATTTGAAAACTGTAGATATATTTAATATTACTTCGGCAAATAAACTTTGAAAATGTAAAGAAGTCACCATTTTTTTTACTATTAATAGGAACAAAAGCTACATATAACCTAATGATACTCACGGGCTGAGATAACAAATTGTTATTGCCGGTTTGACGAACGAATCAGGCTCTTGTAAATCTAATGTGACAACTGTTGGGTAAGTGTAGAAATGTGTTATAAACTCCGTTATCTGGTATGAGAATCCTCCTACGCAAGCAACGAAGATCATGAATTTTATAACTATCCAAAGAATTTTCCTTATTTTTTTCGAGTTTCCTTTCTTCTCGTCGACTGCCTTACTCTCGATGTGGGAATTCTCCAACGAAAAACGAACAATGCTTTCCTTTTTTATCTGAAAAGAATTAAATGTAGATTTTTTTAATCGTCACATTTATTTTCATTGCCAATAAAAAAAAAATTCCTCCTGTAACAAAAATAAGTCTTTTAAGAGGTCATATTAGATCCCCTGAATTAGAACTCTACCACCATTTTGGAGGAAAAACTTTCACAAATGTGGAAAAGCTACAATATTTGGCAAGTAATGAACAAATTCCGCAACAAATGAAGCTAACCTCAACTAGGATAATCCGTAAAAAAAGCGCGTTTGACCACATAGATTTACATCGTTTTTCGGACACCTATTGGTGATCAAAATGAAATGCAATTAGAAACAGTTAAATATTTATTTTTAACAGAGTAAAAGGAAATACTTAAAAGTAAAATCAAAATTTGGAGATTCTGAGATAAGTTTGGCGTATGCTTATTCAGCCAATCTCTTGCCTTTGTTTACTTGGTTTTATACCAAGCAAACACTCAAAATTGTAAAATAAATTATTAAATGTTGCTTAAAAGTCATATTTTAGTTAAATATTTACCTAATAAATGCAATTTTCAATGAAAATTCTTATATTTTATGTATGGTTAGAACTGAACAATTCAAATAACCCCAAAAAGTAACTCGCTTATTTATTTTTAAATAAAAAGACAAAAACAAGCTTTCCGAAACAAATTCCAAGAACTTAATATCATTTATATACTGCATACGTATATAATTGAATAAATTTAATAAATAATAAATAAATGAGTATTTATTTCACATAAGCGAGCTTCACACCCAAGCTGCTAGTTACATTTTCTGCAATTTATTATCCATTTCTTTTTTCTTTCGAAATATGATTGAAATCTTAACATTAGAACTGTTGAATTTAACTGTTTGCCCAATTCATAGCTGCACAGTTACTCATATCAAAAATTCTATTTATCTAAATGGTCTTCGAACTCTTTCGCTAATGTTAACACCACGTTAGTAGCGAGCTTGTTTGCTCCATAATAGCGGACAGTTCAGCTCTCACTATAAAGGAGCTTTAATTAATATGTTTCTAAAAAATACACAATTTGATATATGCAAATGACGTCATTGTAGGTTAATCAATGGTAGAGCCCCTGAATTAGACAGGCCGGCTTATCATTTATTTTGGAGCAAAAGCATTTCCTTTAATAATGAAGAGCTACAAGATTTGGCAACTTATCTCTAAAAACGACGTTAACCTCAACTATAGGATAATCGGTAAAGAAAAACGTACAACGATTAACATTGTTTTTCGGAAACTTTTTCTTTTACGCTTATACAAATTCACTGGAAATTTTATGACCGATTTAAAATTTTAAATAAAAAATCTGTGCATGTACTATATGCCAATTACATCAATTTTTTTTATAAGTGATTTCAATGTAAATTTGGTACTAAATTTTTTATTTCAGTTAGATCTGAGTTTTTTAAATTTCTTTTCAAATTTTTTTAACAAAATTAAAATGTGAAAAAAAGCATGCTTTGACATGAAATATTTTTAAGTATGTTTTTAGAATCAAAATAAGTAAATTTCTCATTCAATATTCTAAATGCAAATGTTTACAATCGTGAGAAGCAAGAAATTTTGTTTCAAAATCAAGAATTGATTTAAATTTAGTGTTTTTAATTGAGACATTGAATTTTCTTTAAAACATTTAAGGACAAGATGAATTAAGATTTTTAGCCATTATTATTATAGAAATAGAATTAATAGAATAAATAGAAACTAGAGTTTCATGGGGAGGAGAAGAAACGACGCATGATAAATTTTTAAATAATTTATTTAAATAAGCATCTTATTTCAAAACACATTTTCAAAACATTTTTTTATTTAGAACATTGGAATTTGTAGGAATGGCATCAGATCTAAGTATATTGTTTCCATCTTTTTTATTTATTTCTCGTTGAGATTCTTTAAAATGAACCTGAAAAAATATTTAGAATACTTTTTAAATTAAATCACATCAAAAAAAAAAAATTAGAGTTTACAATTTACAAACATACTCCTATGAAATTTTCTAACACAGAAACTAATTATTTCAACAATTTAAAACAACAATTTAAAACAAGAAAAAAAAACATTNAATTTGGTACTAAATTTTATATTTCAGTTAGATCTGAGTTTTTTAAATTTCTTTTCAGATTTTGTTTAACAAAATTAAAATGGGAAAAAAACGTGTTTTGACCTGAAATATTTTTAAGTATGTTTTTAGAATCAAAATAATTAAATTTCTCATTCAATATTCTAAATGCAAATGTTTACAATCGTGAGAAGCAAGAAATTTTGTTTCAAAATCAAGAATTGATTTAAAATTAGTGTTTTTAAATGAGACATTGAATTTTCTTTAGTACATTTAAGGACAAGACGAATTAAGATTTTTAGCCATTATTATTACATAAATAAAATTAGTAGAATAAATAGAAACTACAGTTTCATGGGGAGGAGAAGAAACGATGCATGATAAATTTTGAAATAGTTTATTTAAATAAGCATCTTATTTCAAAACACATTTCCATAACATTTGTTCATTTAGAACATTGGAAATTGTTGGAATAGCTTCAGATCCTAATTTATTGTTTCCATCTTTTTTATTTATTTCTCGTTGAGATTCTTCAAAATGAACCTGAAAAAATATTTAGAATACTTTTTTTTTCATACTTAAATTAAATTACATTAAAAAAATAATTAGAGTTTACAATTTGCAAACATACTCCTATGAAATTTTCTAACACAGAAACTAATTATTTCAACAATTTAAAACAAGGATTTGAAACAAGAAAAAAAAGCATTGATGGACCCAAAATATATGAAAGATCGCATATTAAATAGATTTCTTATGATAAATGAAAACCGTTTGAATTTTAGGCGATATATTACCATAAATAACTAAAATTCGGACCTAAATTAGCCAAGAATAAGAAAGTAACTATTTGATCTCAGTGAAATAAAATGGAATACAATAAAAAACAGGTAAATATTTGGTTTTTTTTTACAAAAAGAAATACTTAAAAGTGATGACAAAACTTGGCGATCATGAAATAAGTTTGGCGAATACTTATTTAGCCAATCTCTCGCCTTTATTTATTAGTTTTATTGCACACAAACACTTAAAATTGTTAAATAAATTAATAAATGTTGCTTAAAAGTCATATTTTAAATAAATATATGCTTAATAAATGTAATTTTGAATGAAAATTCACATATTTGGTACATAGTTAAAACTGTACAATTCAAGTAACCCTGCAAGCTATTCGCTAATTTTTTTTAAATAGAAGAAAACAAACATTTAAAAGCAAATTCTAACAACTTAATATCGTTTATATACTACATATATAAGTAAAGAAATCTAATAAATTATAAATAAATGAGTATTTACCTCAAATAAGCGAACTCCACTTCCAGGCGGCCAGCTGTATCTTCGGTAATTTATTATCTTCTTCTTTCTTTTCCCATTTGAAGGAAATCTGAACAAGCGAAAACCTTTTTTTGAACTGTTTGTGCAATTTAATGCCGCACAGACACCCATATCAATAATTTTTGGTATCCAAATAGTCTTCAAACTTTCACGCTAATAATAACAAAACGTTAACTTGCGAACTAGTTTGCACCAATTTAGTTGATAGTTCAGCTCTCCTAGTATAGTAGCCTTAATCAATGGTTATTGCCGATTAAGAAGTCAATCAAGTTCGACATACACATGAAACGTCGTTTACAGATATATATTTATATCTGATTTAAATCACAGGCTTAGGCATAATCACTTCACAGGGTTGCAAGTACCCACACTTACAATAGTTTAGGTATTGCTATCAATATGTTAGCCAAAATAACGGAACTTACTATTTAAATCAATTTTTTTCTCATTTGCTTTTTTGTATCGGTATCTGGTTTAAAGCTGAAACTAACGTAACACACACGATTACTTTCACTTAAACATTTTTATGTATATATAAATTTAATTATTCGTTTTGACTTGTAGCTTTCATAAAGTATCGGCGTCACGCAACTTAATTTTGCTGAATTAACTTGACCGCAATCGACCTCTATTAACATATACACAGGGGAAAACTATATCAAACTTCACTGTTGCGCACTAAAATAGCTCATTAATAAAATGAAAATTAACAAAAACAGAGTTGCTTTTGTTAGACGGGCAACGCCCACTTTGTTAACAACTGCTAAAGCTGTCTACTGCACTTCGATACGTCTAGTTATGTGTGTACAGTGCGCAAAATAAAAAAGATATCACTCAGAATAATTTTTTTAATTATCGGATTTTCACATACTAAGTGTCAATCTTAATGGTTTCTGGGGGTGCATTTAAATATGGCAATTAATTAGTCCTAACTATTAACTAAGTTATGAAATCAGACACACAAAAAAACGTATTTTTTTACATATTTGGATTCCCGACCCTTAAAATAGGGGGATATGCAAAATTTCTAAAAGTTTAGGTCATAAATAGTTGGGTGAGGAAGCTATATATATTTGATGATGGTCCAAAAAAAAACAGCCAAACAATGTCGCCGTCTCAAATTAGTAATTTAAGGTAACAATGAGCTAATTCAGGAGAGCAATACCTAATTTTACTCCTTTGCGAAACAGCAAAGTTCAGACAGTGAAAAGGAATGAAATTTGTGGCTGTTTAGAGTGGTTTATTTATTAATGGTTAAAAGAAAAATATCCCGAAGTTTCTGGGTATTAGACATTTTTTTTAAATGATTTCTGACCGTAAAGCAAAGATCGTTTTCTTTTTAACCAATCTTCATTGAAAAGAAAATTTGAATATATTTATAAATTATTCCCTGAATACCACTTCTTCGCACGGGGAGGGTGAAAAAATAAATAAAAAGTATAAAAATAAATAAAATTTAACTTCATTAGTATATTTGGAACATATTGCATAACCCTTCAACATTTTACTCTAGTGAAAAAAAACATTTATCAGTGATAGCCAACAAAAGCCGAAATTAAAAAAAAAAAAAATAGAATTCTCTTTAGA